TGGACACACTAGGAAGAAAAAGGAGGTCAGGGGACAGAGGTGCTGGGTTAGAAAGAAATGGATGGGAAATACGGTGCTCAGAAAAAGCCCCTGCTAGGTGACATTTCAGTAGAGGTTTGGAGCAGCCAGGGAGATGTGTGAGAAAAGGGCAGTCCGGGCCAGAAGGGTCTGCTGTGGCTGGAGAGGAGTAAGAGACTGGACCACACAGACCCCTGGAAGCCAGGTGGAGGAGTGTGTGTATTAGGTTAGACCTGGGCTGTCTTATCATAGCCACTCCCATGTATCTGCTGAGCACTGGTAATGTGGCTAGTTTGAATTGAGATGTGCTGTAAGTCAAACCATATGCCAGGCTTCAGAACCACTGTGGAAAAAAAAAGATAAAACATCAATTCTTTTTAAAAATACTGGTTACACATTAAAACTACATTTTGGATATACTGCATTAATATATGATTAAAATGAATTTCACTTTGTAAAATACGACTACTAGAAAATTTTAAATTATGCATATGGATTGAATTCTATCTCCATTGGACAAGGCTGCTTTAGAAAGAAATTGAAAGTAGCGTTTTGAGATACATCATTCTATTTGAAACTCAAAACACGGGTACTGTTGCCTGTCCAGTAACGTGGCGGGCAGCTTGCATCAGCAGGTTTCCACTGGTACCTAAGGGCATTTCCAGAGCCTGCGCCGCCCCCAAAGGAACTACAAGAGCCAGCGTGCACTGCGGGGGCAGGGGAGTGAGCCTGGGAAGAGCAGCAGCTTTATAGCGTCACTTCCGCTATGAAGCGTGACCCGGGTCTCCGAGGACGTGCATGGTGTAGGTGGGAACGTTCGCTACGCTGCCTGCCTCCGGTCTCCGAAGGTGTGCATCGTGGAGGTGGGCGGGGAGTGCTCGCGGTGCAATGGGGTCATGAGGTTGGAGGCTGCTGTCATGAGTGTTTGACTTTGAGCCGGTTTTGTGTGGGATGAGGTTGTGAGGACCTTCCCCGACGCGTATCACGTGGAAAAGTGTCGTCACAGGCCTGTTGTCACGGTCCACGGCGGGAAGGGTTCTTCCTGAGAGCGAGCACCTGGCGTGTTCCGCGACACGACGCGGAACCCAAAAAGGCAGGCGTTCATGTCCTACTTGACGGGTGGTGTCTTGCCTAGGGTCGCCCGTCCTGTAATTGGCAGAACCGGGGCCCCAATCCGGGCCTCTGGAGCCTGTCGAAAGGAGCTTTTTACCCCAGGGGACGTAGGAAAGGGGACTAGGGTCTGTTCTGAGCAGCGCTACAGCCTGTTCTCCCCTACACGACGGACTAGCCGTTCCTCTTGAGGAGGAGGCGGGTTTTTAGCATGTTGCGTCTGATGTAAGATGGGGTCTTGTGGGCAAAGCAGTGCCTGTTTAACTGAGCTATTGTTTCATATGGAAGTTTTCCGAGTTAGAAGGAGGTGTATGCACCCAGTATATCAAAACATTAATCCAGCCGCAGTGTATATCCATTCAGAATGAACTGCCTGAGTGAAGAGGACGGTGTATACTGGGCTGCTTCATCTTAAGAAGTCAGGAGTTCTTCTGGCGAGTTCTGTCTTCCTTGCCTTTTATAGTTTGTGATGTTTGCCCCTGGTTTAGTTTTCAGGTTGATGCCATTGTGTCTACCTTTATAAAATATCCTGCCTCGTGATGAGTTCCTAGAAATGAGAAAGAAGTCCGTTGTAAAGGGGAGATTCTTTGCTCTGAGAAATACCTGTCTTCTGCAGTTTCTCTGGCTTTAAAGTCACTATCACTTCCTGCCAGGTATGCCATCATACACTCACGTAATGTCAGTGGTCCCAACCCGTGTAAAGCCGATGATATTAAATATTCAAGGTACATACTATGGTTCGTAATAATGGGTGCTACTTTGAGATGTGCAACCAAACAAACATTGTTATTATTACTACTATTATTAGTGTATTATCATGTTAAAGATGTTTTAGTGTATCTGGAAGTGTTTCTTCAATATTTTCTATGCATAGAAAGGTATGGTGTATACTGTATACTAAGAAAAACATTTGACTGATACAAACTGTGCCTAATGGTTCTGACCTATGGACAAATTCAACTTACAAATAGACTTAGGACCTGATCTTATTCATAATCTGGGGACTGCCTGTATATAATATGGTATTTGTACAGTTTCCAAAGCACATGATGTCCTCTTTCACAGAGCATGTTGGGAAAGTTAAGTGACTCATGGCCGTGTACGTGTTTTCAGTCACTGTGGTCTGTCTTACCGCTGGCTGCAGTAACAGTGCTAGACAAGTAGTGCAGATGGCTCATTGGAGAAATAGCAACCCTCACAAGCTCATTGGGTGTCCAAAGAGTAACACACCCCTTTTGACGCAGTAAAGCCTCTTTTTTTAAAACCATGCTGCAAAAACGACAAGGAGGCCACATGTTCTGACCTCCTCTAATCTCACAAGAGGAAGACAGGATTACCAGCAGTAACCCAAGGCCTAGTACTGCAAGGCCAGACATGCTGCCTCCCTCCAGCCCTTTTACCAACCGTTCCTCCCAAAGCACCCACCACCTCTCTTCTGGGTTCGATAATTCACTGCAGTGGCCACATAGAACTCACAGATTATGGGGTTTATTAGGGAAGCACCAGGCTACAACTCAAGTTCAGGAGGAACTCTCTCCCAGCCCACCGTCCCTCAGCCAAAAGTCTCTCACAGTCTCTTTCCCAGCAGTGCTGGTCCCTCGGTGTCTCACTCAGCAATGCGTGTCTCTTGTGTCTCTTTCCCAGCAGCACGTGTCTCTTTCAGGGGTGCGTGTCTCTTTCAGCAGCACGTCTTCCTCAACCAGCAGTCAGAGAGAGAGTTCTGCCTCTAGGAGGCCTCCTTTTGAGCCCCGCCGGGTGGTCAAACTAGCCAATCATAGCATCAGAACTCTAAGCACCTGAGAGAGAGTGGGCACCTCCCAGAACATTATATTGTGCCACGCCCAACAGAAATACTCCACTTGGATAACATTTACAATCAGCTCCTCAGTTGCTCATTCCACCACTGAGTTTACAATGACTTATGGGTAGAAAAGCCATACTAAGTAATTTACTACACTGCACATGCATAGCCGTTTCCATCTCCCTTTGAGTTCATCTTCTGCTAAAAAGCATTTCATACTATTGAGTCCAAATGAGGTCAGGATGACCCAGTGAACATCAGTAGAGGCAAGAGTGGGAGAGTTAACAGCGAGGTATTCTCAGCAACTTCCTGGTATGAACTGCTTAATAGTTATTCATGATTTTATGTGCCCATTACCCCCAATGACCTCAAGTCAAATCAGTCGGGGAAAATTGTCCAATTTTTTTTTTGTAATAGTAGTCACAGTTGACATTACTTATACTCAGCATTGTATCTTTTGCTTCTCAAAGGTATGATTTAATGCTCGCAGTAATCCCAATGGGTTAGATATTGTTGTTGTCAGTGTTTTAATAGGAAGAAACTAAGATATAGGCGGGTTAAGAAATCCATCGAATATCACATAGTTAATTTGTAGCAAAGCTGGGATTAGAAGCCAGAAACCCTGACTTCAAAGTGCACTGTTCTGGTTCCCTAGTGCCACTCTGAGAAGAATATACCACAAATGGGATGGCTTTAACAAACAGGAGTTTATTGTCTTACAGTTTGGAGGCTTTTAGTCCAAGTTCAAAGTGCCAGGCTCTAAGAGCTGTATGAAAGCCCCTCAACCTTGGTCTTCAGCTCTGCCTCTTGCTCCCAGTCCACTGAAGCTAGAGGCATTTTTTCACTCAGACAGCTGCTGGCTGCTGAGGCTGAATAGCCCCAAGGTTGACAAGTAAAAGGCACAGTCCTGATGTTACCAAACCACATGGCAGGCCATTAATCTAAGTCCATTGTAAGTTCCAAGGTCAGCAGAGCATAGCAGGCTGCTGAGCACGGCTACATGCAGGGCCCAAGCGAGCCAAAGGCTAGAGACCATTCCCAAAGCTTCTCCTTATATACAGGAAGCAGACCACATCCCAGAGGCAGCTACTCAGCTGCTTGGGGTAGATCCCACCATGGAGTTGATTGCCAGTCTCATCATGGGGAATAACTACCACCAACTGCCTAGCCACTCAACCAGGCCCAGCTAAGTTGACCTACAAATTTAACTACCACATGCACACTCTTTTTTTTCTTTATGGTTTGGGTGGAAGTTTACAGAGCATGTTAGTTTCCCATTTAACAGTTTACACACATTTTGTTTTGTGACACTACTTGCAATCCCCTCAATGTAACAGCACTCTTCCCACATCCTTCCTCGGTTCCCCGTTTCCAAAATCCCACACTAAGAAGCACAACTCTTTCACAAAGGGAAAGCTCTGTGGGTGAGGGGTTTCCTAGTTTCTCTGGGCCCTGTGATTTGTGAAATGTTACAAGAGAGTGTTGCGTTCTTGATGGCGAATCAGTGGGGATTTACCAGAGGGCGAACCATTCTGCTGTGCAGAAAAGAGAAAAATAAAATGCCTGGAAAAGGGTGGAAAAGGAAAACGTCTTTGCAGAAGGATAAACCTTACATGGTGAGCATCTGCCCAGAGAAGGCAAAGCAGCCAGGCAGGTAGACCTGAGGTGCCCAGCCCTTGATAGGCTGCCTCCAGATGAAAGTGGAGGAGTGGCCAGGCTTGCCCCACATGGGCTTTCATTGTGAGGAGTAGATCCCACTTCATTAGAAATGTGTCAGACATCCAAGAAAGAATAGGGGGGAAAGAAAGAAAGAGCTTCAGGAAATGGGTTTATCTTCTGGGACTCGTGTGACTCTGGGCATCTTCAGTCTTTCAGGGAAGATGAAAAGGGGCTGGAGATGTAGTAGGAGAATTGACCCACAGAATTCCACGTAGAGGACCGTAGTATGAACATGCTTATGCTGCATTTGAAAGACTGTTGAAGCACTGATTCAGGGTTATAGCATCTTGCGTTGGTTTCCATTCTGCCGCCTCTCATGGTTTTGCTCAGGGCCTCAGCACCCGCTAAGACCATGTGGACTGCGGACGAGATTGCTCAGCTGTGTTACACACACTATGGGACCAAGCTGCCCAAACAGGGGAAGCCTGAGCCAAACCGTGAGTGGACGTTACTGGCAGCTGTGGTGAAGATACAGTCTGCAGCTGACCAGGACTGTGACTCCCCTGGCAAGCCGGTGCGAGGTGAGGCCTTTTCGTCTCTGTCAGGGGTGGTAGCATTGTACATTGCTGTACTGGAATGGTGGCGTCCCTGGGTGTTGTAAATGGGTAACTCACTTGGCTGTAAGATGAAAGGTTGGGGCCTTGAGTCCATCCAGAGGCATCTCAGAAGAAGGACCTGGCAGTTTACTTCCAAAGGGTCAGAGCCATTGAAAACCCCATGGAGTTCAGTTCTACTCTGACGCGCGTGGGGCTGCCATAGGTTGGAGTTGACTCGGCAGTTGGGGAAACTGGAACAGTGGTGGACACAGTGTGGACCACAGTGGTGGATATACTCTCCCTGCCCCTTGCCAGCAGGTGGCCACAGTGCTTCTGGAGGCGGGACACCCACGTGCTGGAACCGTAGTCCTCGGCGGGTAGGCCTGTGGCAGTGCTCTGGAGCAATGAGCAGACTTCATAAACCTGAGGACTGGGGACCATGCAGACCCTGGAGCTCACTTAGTGATTTGTTTTGTCTCCTTAGTGGCAAAGGAAGTTGTCTCACTGGGAACAGGAACGAAATGCATAGGCCAGTCCAAAATGAGGAAGAGTGGTAAGCACCGGTGGGAGTCTAAGCAAAACCTGTCTCAGGAACTCTGAAAACAGGTGTTGAACTTTGCTCCTTTTGTCAGAATAAGAAGTATAAAAATCATCTCGGCACAAAGCTGGCCAGTGGGACCCTGCTCAGACCAGAGCTTCCCTGGGTTAGCTGCTCCACATTGTGTCTGGAAGGCTTCAGAACTCCAAAATGGCAGGTAGAAGGTGCATCTGGAGTGGCTACTGAAGCCCCAGGAAACAGTCTTGAATTCAGTGGAACTTGTGGCACCAATGTGGAAATTCTCGTAGAGATCTGGGACTTCACCTGCTTCAAGTTAGCAGGTTCCTCCTTGAGTTTGGGTCCCTCATTGTCCTGATCTAGCCCCACATAAGAAGAACTAGTTCCCAAGAAGCTAGAGATTGAATTAGATAAAATGAAAGCAGCCTTCATGCTCAGGCAACAGGGAATCATATCACTATGAGCACGGGGGTGATTTTGGGGTACAAAACACCTGGACCCATGTCCTGATAAACCCCAAAGTGGGGTCGCTGTGAGTCCACTCAACAGCAGTGAGGTTTGGTTTGGTTTGGTTTTGATGGATCACTGGTTCTCGACCAGGGTGTCAGGTGCTGGAGATATGTGAAAGGGGCCACCATCTACAGAAAATAGGGACATACTGAAGAAACAGGCAGAGCACTGCAGGTTGAGTAAGTGATCTGAGATTGCTTATGGGGAAAACTTGCATCCAGGGTGAGGTCTTGGGGGCAGCAGGACAGGAAGCGCTCTGATCTCCACCACAAATGCCCGAGATCAGATGGAAGTACTGATGCGGGTGAGTCACGCAGCCCCACTTCCCTCAAGTCCAGAGTGTCCAAGTACTACTGTCTGGTTCTGGGCTCCTTGAAAGATATTACGTTCCTTGCATCCTACTAGTTTTGGAAACAGGGTGTTTGCCAAGCTGGTTGTGAATCAGTCGCACCTTCATTTGTCCTCCTGACATGGGAAATTCCTCCCTCATCCCTTGGAAGTATCTGGAGACATTTTTGGTTGTCACAATTTGGGGTTGCTACTGGCGTCTAGTGATCTTCCAGTGGTACCTAGTAGAGACCAGGGATGCTGTTAAACATCCTACAGTGCACAGGACAGCCCCATAACAGTGTTACCCAGCCCTAAATATATGTAATCCTGAGCTGAGCTACACTGCTGTAAGTAACTAACTGTCTTGCCATTAATAATTGTGATGCTTTTTGGCAAAAGCCCTCTAGAAGCTGCATGGCCATTCCAGGTCCCAGGGGAAGCTACTCTGTTCTACTTCTAGGAACTAAGGCCTCTCCAGGTTCTGTGTCTTCACGTGGTGTCCTGTCTTTGCCACAGGAGACGTCCTTAATGATAGCCATGCTGAAGTCATAGCCAGAAGGAGTTTCCAGAGGTAAAGCCGCATCCCCACAGATTCTGACTCAGCACGTCTGAGGTGGGTGGGCTTAGAATGTGCGTTTCTGACAAGCTCCCAGGTAACATTAAGTCCGTCTAAGGACCACACTTTGAACAACTCTGGTCTAGACCAGTGGGTATCAAGCCTTAGAATCACCTAGAGGGCTCATGAGATCCAGATTGCTGGGCCCACCCCCAGATATTCAGATTCAACAGGTTAGGGGGTATCTGAAAGGTTGCATTTCTAACACATTGCCCAGTGATTGGTGTTGATGGTGCTGGTTCAGAGAACATACTTTGAGAATCGCTGGTCTAGATCATTCTTGTAATTCCAAATCACTACCAGTCCCACTGGGAGCTCTGGTAGCGTAGTGCCTAATGCACTTGACTGCTGACCAGAAGGCTGGCGGTTCAAACCCACCAGCCACTCCTCGGAAGGAAGATGGGGCAATCTACTTCCGTAGTGATACTGCCTCAGAAACCCAAGGAGGGGTCGCTATGAGTCGGGTCCGACTCGACAGCACATAACAGTGACAACAACAACGAGTCCCACTGGACTACAGTAACACTTCCCTTCTTTCTTAGCAGCCCCCTTGTCACATCCTTCCCCTGTACTGTAGGATTGGTTGTTCATTCTGATAACATCCTGGAACTCCCCTCCCGCCCCAGGTACCTTCTCCATCAACTCCAGTTGGCAGCCTCCCTGGAAGAAGATAGCATCTTTATTGCAGGAACTCAGAGAGGACTGTGGAAGCTCAGATCCAACATCATCTTTGTGTTTTTCTCCAGCCATACGCCCTGTAAGTATGTTGCAGTCTTTGGATTGATGGCCCATTGTCTACTTCCTTATGTTTATCTTATGCATGGATATGTTTCTCAAGAAAAGCACCTTTGCCACAGCTGATGGTCCCTTTTTGTGGACAGTTAGGGCAATATACCTAATCACTCTACCATGTTATTTCAGTTCTCAGAATCAGGATTGGAAGGCTTAAGGGCAAAACCCTGGAAGGTCTGAAACCAGTGTGGGGCCAGAAGTCCACAGTTGTACTGTCATAACTTACTCTGATACTCACTCTTATTTATTCATTCACTGAACAGATAACGTATACTACTTGTCAGGCACAGTACCACAGACTGTGTATGTACCAGAATAAGATGATCACTTTGCCTCCCCTTGTAGGGTTTTTCTGGAAATGTAGGCAGACATGGTTAGGTAAACTCTGATGAGCTGTGAGAGAGTGCACACAGTTAATGTGCTCAGCTGCTAACCAAAGGTGGGAGGTTCAAGTTCCCCCAGAGGCACCTCAGACAAAGGCCTGGCTGTGTCTGCTTCCGAAAAATCAGCCGCTGACCAACCTGTGGAGCACGTTCTGCTCTGACACATGGGGTTGCTGTGAGTCTGGATCAGCCGGCTGCAGCTGGTTGCAAGGTGACGTTCAGGTGCTGTGGTTGCATGAGGCAGCATCCCCAGACCCGGCCTAGGGGTCCTTTCTGTCGTGTTTCTCTTTCTTGGAAATGGACGATAATTACTACCTTTTGTAAACAACAACTTCCGGATGGCAGTAAAAATTCCTCACCCTAAAAACTTTGAAATAAGGGTAGAAGATTGTCCTCTGAATATTAAGCTTTTGAAATTATGCGTGCGATTTCAGCAGAGATAGGGAACTGCTGTAAAAAGACAGAATAGCTGTCAAGGCTCAAAGTGCTTTCACACTCTGTTCTTAGCAGTGGATGTCCTGTAATGTGCATATGAAGTAGCCGGGGATCTTGTTAAGACAAAGATTCAGGTTCATTAGGTCCCAGGAGTGGCCTTTGATGTTGCGTTTCTCACCAACTCCCAGAAGAAGGCAGTGGTGCTGGTCTGCAGACCACATTCTGAGTAACTAAAGCCTTGCTGATCCTAGTGGCAGGCATGTCCTTATGGTGAAGATGACGCATCCAGGATCTATGCTAGCCTGATGGCCTACTCGCAGCTACATAAATTAGTGCTCCACAGACTAGCGCCGATCTGTGATGAGAGTACTTACTGGTCCATCGCAAAACAAGAAAAACCAGGAGTGCGTAATGATTTGTTTTCAAAAAGCTGCTTTCTTACATTGAAGTCTAAGGTGCACCTGACCTAAAATATGGTATTTTCAGTGGCCCATATGCATGTGAGAGCTGGACAGTGAATAAGGAAGAGTGCAGAAGAATTGATATATTTGTGTTGGTAAGGGTTCTGGTTCCCTAGTGCCACTCTGACAAGAATATACCACAAAGGGGATGGCTTAAACAAACAGGAGCTTAGTCTTAACAATTTGGAGAGTTTAAGTCCAAGTTCAAAGTGCCAGGCCCTAGGGGCTGGGTGAAAGCCCCTCAACCTTGGGGTCCAGCTCTGCCTCCTGCTCCCGGCCCACTGGAGCTAGAGGTGTTTCTTCACTCAGACAGCTGCTGGCTGCTGAGGCTGAGAAGCCCAAGGTTGACAAGTAAAAAGGCACAGTTCCGATGTTATCAAACCACACGGCAGGCCATTAATTTAAGTCCATTGTAAGTCCCAAGGTCGGTAGAGCATGTCAGGCTGCTGAACAATGACATGGCCACATGCAGGGTCCAAGCATGTCATAAGCTAGAGACCATTCTCAGAGCTTCTCCTTATTTACAGGAAGCACACCACATTCCCTAAAGCAGCTACCCAGCCACTCAACCAGGCCCAGCCAAATTGACACACAAACATAACCACCACAGCAAAGAATATTAAATGTGCCATGGACTGTAGCAGAAAGAACAGATCTGTCTGCTGACAGTAATAGCCAGAATGCTCCTTGAGAGGCAAGAATGACCAGATTTCATCTCTTGTACATTGTTCCTGTTATCAGAAGGGACCAATCCCTGGAGAAGGATATCATATTTGGAAAAGTAGCGGGTCATTGAAAAAGAACACTCTGTGAGACAGTTTGACACAATGTCTGTGATGATGGACTCAAGTAGGGCAGAAATTTTGTGAGTGTGGTGTAGGGCAGGACAGTGTTCCCTTCTGTTGTAGATAGGGTTGTTGTGAGCTGGAACTGACTCAGTGGCAGTAAACAACAGTTTCTTAAAATTTAGAGGTGTTGTGATTTTTACTTTAAATGATGGTAATTGGGACTTTTAAGGGTCTTATTTGCAGAATAAAAAGTTGGCAACCGTCTATTGATCTTAAAATCTGCTGTGAATTTTACTGGTCTGCAAAATCAAAATCTGGAAACCACTGATCAAACTTCCCTAACTCTTGAGTCGTTTTTAAAAGTTGTGACAACCACAAATGTCTCCAGACACTTCCAGGTGTTCAGGGATTCGGGAGGAATTTCCTTGTCAAGAGGACAAATGAAGGTGCTATTGATCCAGGACCACCTTGCACCCACCATGGTGTCTGCAGAAGGAAAGAGCTTGGCCTACAGAGTGTGACTGGCTGGCTCCCTGGGAGCTCTGGTGGCGTAGTGCCTAAGGCATTTGACTGCTAACCAGCAGGCTGGAAGTTCAAATCCACCAGCCACTCCTCGGAAGGAAGGTTGGGCAATCTACTTCAGTAGTGATACCACCTCGGAAACCCAAGGAGGGATTGCTATGAGTCGGGTCTGACTCGATGGCACATAACAACAACAACAAAGTTAGTAAAGTGGCGCCTGGGTTAGCTCCTTCAGGCTTATGTCTGGCTTTCATTAGCCTGAGTCGGCCTTTCACCTTCAGGCATTTGTTGAGATCAGACCTCCGAGCCTGCACTGGAATTGGAACCTGGTGAATTCTCCATAGTAGATGTCACCTTATAAGGTCTCTGGAAGTCAGCCAGTGGGCTCTCTGGCAACATTCCCATTTCTCATCTCTGCTTTTCACACTCGGAGTCATCATTTACACACTTTAGAAAAGCCAGACACATTGGGCCAGGGTTTGAAGAAGTAGCTTCCTTTGCACTTTGCAGGGAACCACAGTGCTTCTCACGGAACTTTGGTTTTCTTTGGTCTCTGTTATTTCTCTAGTGCTGCTGTCGCACAGATACCGCAGGTGGGTAGCTGTGACAGAAAGTGATTCTCACGGCCGGAGGAAGCTCCTTGTCTCTTCTGAGCTTCTGCTCCTGGGACACTTCCTGTGACCTGGCAAGTCTCTTCCCTGTCTTTACTGTTCTGAATTAGTTTAATCTCTTTTGTATCTCAAAAGAGGTAGATTTAAAATACCTTACACCAATCCTGTTTTGTTAGCATAACAAAGACAACTCGTTCCCAGATGGGATTATAACCACAGGGATTTACAACACATATTTTTGGGGGGGACATGGTTCAATCTGTAACAACCCCTTATAAGTACAGAGTACCTCAGAAGCCCCTAAACCAAAGTGGTCAGATGCATTTGGGAAACGCTGGCTGCATGGTTTCCTGCAGGACTTCCCAGTCTGTGTGTGTGTGGGGGGCGGGGGGGAGGGGGTTTATATCGTAAATGCTGCTAATCATCCTGTGAGGTGCAGCAGGCCCCACGACAGAGAATTTGTTGCCAAAATCTCCATAGTGCTGAGATTGAGGAACACTGGTCTAAACCAGTATTTCCAAAACTTCCTTGAGATAAGAGGGACCTGGGACCTTTGTTTGAAAAATCTTGGCTTCAAACTGGTTCATTGCAGTTCAGCCTCTCGCTAAGGATTTGCATTGCCACCCCAGGTATGCTGCATCAGGAGCCACAGTTTAACAAGATGCCTAGGTGATTCTTGCTAAAATATAAAATCCCATTCAGTGGGTCTTGGGTGGAAATGCAAGATCTCATCAGGGGTTAAATCAGAATGACTCAGTTGGAAGCCGTGTTAAAAATTCCGTCCTGGAGATTCTGACTCATTGGGTCTAAGAGGGGCTTCAACAAGAGCCCCAGGTGACTCTTGTCGGGAAATTTTGGCAGCTGCTCTAACTCCTCTCAGGTTAGCTGGGAGTATAGAATTGGCCTTTATTGAAGGCCAAACCAAAAACCCAAACCTACTGCCCGTTGAGTCGATTCCAACTCACAGTGACTCAATAGGACAGAGTAGAACTGCCCCCTAGGGATCCCACGGCTATAAATCTTTCCAGAAGTGGACTGCTACATCTTTTTCCCATGGAGCAGCAAGTGGGTTCAAACCACTTACCTTTCAGTTCACAGCTGAGCACTTTAACTACTGTGCCACCAGGACTCGTCTTTATTTAAGATAGTAACTGTTAAACTTAAGCTTGCATCAATTGGAATCACCTGGGGAGGTTGTTAAAACATTGCTGGCCCTAAGTCCAGTTGCTGATTTAGCCCATCTGCTGTGGGTCCCAAGAATTTGTGTTTTTAACAAGTTCCCGAGGACGCTGGGGTGGCTGGCCTGGGGACCTCATGTTGAACACCACTGATTTAAGAGGTCTCTTCTCCTGCAGGTGGTGATGCCTCCATCATTCCAATGCTTGAATTTGAAGACCAGCCCTGCTGTCCTGTCAGTAAACATTGGGCCAGCAGCCCATCAGTAGAGGTCAGTGGTGATTTGGAAGCTCCTGAAAATAAAAGGAAATGTGAAGATCCTGACAGTCTTGTAGCCAAAAAGATGAAGCTTGGGCCTGGAATCCCTGCCAGGGAAGTTACCAATGGTGTAACTCACCAAAAGAGTCTGGATAAGCAGGAAAGTGGCCAAACCCCACCAGCTGTCAGCAGCTCAAATCTCACCACAGAGGAATCGGCCCCTATGACGAGAGAGGCTCCAAGTGGTGCCAAGGTGGTGGACATCTACAGAACTGGAGCCAAATGTGTGCCTGGGGAAGCTGGAGACTCGAAGAAGCCGGGAGCTGCATATCACCAGGTGGGGCTGCTCCGAGTGAAGCCAGGCCGGGGAGACAGGACCTGCTCCATGTCCTGCAGTGACAAGATAGCTCGGTGGAACGTTCTTGGTTGTCAAGGGGCACTGTTGATGCACTTCTTAGAAGATCCCATCTACCTGTCAGCTGTGGTCATTGGGAAATGCCCTTACAGCCAGGAAGTCATGCAGAGAGCATTGATTGGCAGGTGAGAGGACAGCGGGGGAGGTAATGTAAGAATAGGGCTTTGAACTGGTTCAGTCATGGTCAAAGCAGCAAAATTGGAACAAATCCAACTTTTTTAATTTTGGGCTAAGCAGAAAGATAACTATGGAAAACTTGCAGATTGAGGCCCTGAAATGGGAGACTCAGAAGAGGCACAGTGAGCCCTTCCAGGAGTCTGATGTGAGAGGCTGGCTTATTGCCAGGACTGTGGCCCGTGACACATTCGGAGCAGCATGCTTGCCTGCCATCTTTGAGCATGGTGCTACTGTTTGTGACTCTGGTAATGTCAATTAGCACACTGCCTTTATTTTCCAAGAAGTGTTTAAGTTTCTGACAGGGCATCAACCCAGACTTTTTTCCATTCTGGTTTTAGTTCCAGGACACCCACATTTTACAAATTCGGGTCCATTCTAATTTAACTTCATTGGCCATGACTGAACCAGAAAGAACCAGTTCAAAGCCCAATATGAGAGTATGTCCAGAGACCCTTAAAAAGACCTATGCCTTTTGATCCATAATTCAGTTAAAAATATACTCAGACATTTAGCTTTGTGTGTCCAAAACCAGAGAAACCAGACTCACTGCTGTTGAGTCAATTCTGACTCAGAGTGACCCCTATGGGTTTCCAAAGCGGTAAGTGTTTACAGAAGTAGATTGCCCCATCTTCTTTCTGTGGAGCAGCTGGTGAGTTTGGACCGCCAGCCTTCTGGTTAGCAGTCATGGGTTTACTTCGTGTATAAACCAAAAAACCAATCTCACTGCTATTGAGTCAGTTCTAACTCGTAGCTACCCCTCCTTGGGTTTCTGAGGTGGTATCTCTGTGGAAGTAGATTGCCCGGTATTCCTTCTGAGGAGTGGCTGGTGGGTTTGAACCGTCAGTCTTCTGGTTAGCAAGAAAGAAAAAGGAAACAATCACAATACCCAGCAGTGGGCAGATGGTTAAATGGTTTTAGTTAAAAATATGTTGGATGAACGTTAATAGAAAGAAGGTTATGTTTACAAAGCAATCTAGAAGATAAAATGAGATCATTTTGGTCTTAAAGTATATAGGAGTGGGAGGATGGGACCGAAGTGTTGGTGATCATCTGTCTGTGGGGAGGGCACATGGGCGTGACGGCCAGTGGGTGTGAGGTTTTATTTGGGGTGATGAAATTGTTCTGACTTTAAGTTGTGGTGGTGATGATTGCAGAACTCTGTGAACATACTGAAGATAAGTGAACTGTATACTGTTAATGGGTGAATTGTATGCCCAGGCACAGTGCCCAGGGCTTTTCCCCCGTTTTCCATTCTGGGACGTTAAACTGCTTGCTGTCTGTTCAGTTCTAGACCTGTGTTCTGTTGCCGTTCTGTTTTGCATGGAAGATAGAAGAGAAAATGAAGCTTTTATGTTCCAGGACCATTTTGATCTTGGTGTGTTTGTAGGATTCCTAAGGAAGCAGATGTCAATAAGTTGATACTTGTGGTTTTAAGTTTGTCTAAGCCTATACTGTATCGGGAATTAAGAGTCTCGTGTTACTGAAGTCACTGAGGGGTGATGACTCACTTCTAGAGTTAACCACTTCAGAGTGATGGCAAAGGAGTTTCCTCCAGCCACTTCTCATGGCCTGATTTCCATTCTGGGACTCTCACCTGTAAATCCCCTACACTGATAAATGATTAGATAGCATTTATTGTTGCTGAGAACAGTCTTTTGTGTGGATGTGAGTTCCCAGGGTGATACAGACAGTGAATGCAGTCAGTTGCTGCATTCACAGTTGGGGGTCCACCGAGGCACCTCAGAAGAAAGACCTGTGATCTACTTCCAAAAAGTCAGCCCTTGAAAACGCTCTGCAGCCCAGCTCTACTGGACACGTGTATGAGACGGCCGGACTCAGAGCTGAGCACAGTTGCTTCGTTTGTTTGCGGTCTGGATACACTGTATTTTGTTTATGCATTCATCAATTGATGGGCATGTGAGTTGTTTCCAGTGCTGTGAACATTTGTGGAAAAGTTTTTGGGTGGACAAATGAGCCCGCATGCCTCCTAAGGCCCTTGCCTTGCAATGGAACTCAGGAGTTAGGATTATAACCGCAGTCCCAGATACTGTTGTCTTTCATGAGTGTACCTGAACTGAGTGCATTTCTCTCCCATTTAGGTGTAGGAATGTCTCATCTTTACCCAAAGGCTTCGGAGTTCAAGAACTCAAAATACAGCAGTCAGATTTACTGTTTGAACAGAGTCGCTGCGCAGTGCAGGCAAGGAGGGCTGACAGCCCAGGCCGCCTTGTTCCGTGTGGGGCAGGTAAGTGGTCCTGGTTTGATTCTCCCAGTGGAGTACCCTAGTGGGGCCACCTCCCCCCAGCCTGTCGGTGTTGTCACATGCTGCTGAGGTGGCTGTGACTCATGGCGGCCCTGTGTGCAGCAGAACGAAACACTGCCTGGTCCTGGGCCGTCCTCGCAGTCATTGCTCGCCTGAACCCATTGTGCAGCCACTGTCAGTCCGCCTCACCAGGGTCTTCTCCCTCACTGACCTTCCCCTTCACTGAGTATGATGTGCTCCTCTAGGGACTGGTCCCTCCTCATAATGTATTCAGAGCATGTGAGATGAAGGCTCAGCATCCTCACCTCCAAGGAGCACTCTGGCTGTATTCTTCCCAGACACACTTGTTCTGAAGTTCGTAGTGTCTTGGATTTTCTTGACCAATGCCACAATTCAGATGTAGCCAGTATACCACAGAGTGGTCAGTAGTAGTCTTGGCTCTGGAGACACACTGGGTCAAATCCCTGCTCTTTATGACTCTGGACATAGCATTCTGTTTTTGGCTTCAGTGTCTTCAAACTTTAGATAAAAGGAATAATTTATCAGGGTTGTTAGGCGGATAAATAAGAAAGGACATTTCAGGCATTTACTGTGTCTCTAGCATGCAATTAACATTCAGTGATGGTTAGCTGCTCAAATGATAATGGTGAATCATGAACCACTTTATGCTCTGTAGTCAGGATGCCAAGCGTCAGAGAGACAGTCACCATCTCTGACTTCATACTCAACCCTCGTGAGTCTGCAGAGCAAAGAAGTATTTTATCAAAACGCCTCTGCTGTTTCTTTATAAAGAAAGCTGAGCAGTTTTAATCTCAGAATCATCTTTTCATAGCCATCAGCTGGAGTGCAGTTTCTGACCAGCCCCTGGATGTTACTGCCAACGGCTTCCCGCAGGGAACAACAAAGAAAGGCCTCCGCAGCCTTCAAGCCAGGTACAAGCTCGTGGAGTCGGGGAGTGGTGGAAAGGAAGCCTTGCCCATTAGCAGTCACTGCCACTCCTCCCTCCCGTCAGCCCCTAAAAAAAACCACCATTGTCATCAAGTTAATTCCAACTCATAGGATCCCTACAGGACAGAGTAGAGCTGCCCCATAGAGTTTCCAAGGCTGAACATCTTAACAGAAGCAGACAGCCTCATCTTTCTCCTGTGGAGTGGCTGGTAAGTTTGAGCCACTGACATTTTGGGTTAGCAGTCCAGTGGTTTAGCCATAGTGACATCGGAGCGCCTTCCTCAGCCCCTGGCAACCCTGAATCTACTTTCTATCACCTCATCTGGGCGGTTCTGTGTGTCTGCCCATTCTGCACGTTTCATATGAATCGCCTTTTGTGTTTGGGTTCTTTCATTGAGCATCCTGTTTTCAGTTCGGCTGGGCTGTAGCGTGTCTCCGTGTTTCTCTAATTTTTAGAGCTGAATGATACTCTGTCGTGTGGATGTATCACATTTCATTGATCCGTTCTTCAGTTGGTGGACATTTGAGTGTCCTTTTTTTGCTTTTTGCTGTATGTATTGTGTGCAAGTTTTGTGCGGATATGTTTTCAGTTCTCTTGGGAATGTATGCAGGAGTGGAATTGGTGGGTCATATTGTACTGTGTGTTTAGCTTTTTGAGGGACTGCCACACTATTTTCCAGAGCAGTCATATTAACCTACATCCTTTCTGACACGTATTGCCTGCCTTTTTCTTAGTACTCATCCTAGTGTGTAGTGCTGTTGCATTGTGCTTTTGACTTGCATTTCCCTAATGTCTAATGATGTTGAGCATCTTTTCCTGTGCTTCTTGGCCATTTGTACATCATCTTTGGAGAAATCTCTCTTTACTTCCTCTGATCATTGAATTGGGTTATTTATCATTTTATGGTTGAGTTGTAAGATTTCTTTATTTTCTGGATACTACTACTATATCAGATATATTACTTGCAAATATCGCTTTCTTGATTGTGTCTTTTGAAGCACTGAAGTTTTTAATTTTGATGGAAGTTTATTTTTTTTCTTGGTTACTCATACTTTGGGTGTCATATTTAATAAACCATGGTCTAATCTGAGGTCACAAAGATTCATTTCTATGTTTTCTTCTAATAGTTTTATAATTTTATCTCTTTTATTTAGGTCTTTGATTCACTTTGAGTTGATTTTTCTATATGATGTGAGATAGGGATCCAACTGTATTATTTTACAGTGGGTATCCAGTTGGCCCAGCACCATCTGTTAAAAACTTTCTTTCTCTTGGGGAAGCCTCTTGTGCCTTACCGTTAGACATTTGGACTCAGTAGATCTGGCTTGGAACCTAAGAATCATTTATGAAGAGGCTCTGGGGAAGTGACCACTCTATCACTGAAGGCATTTCCACCTCAGTCTGGATTGAGCTGCTACTGAAGCGACTGTTGTAGGACGCCCACTATTTAAGCATAGTCCTTTGTACTCTTAAGCTACTTTTGTCTTTATTATGCCCTTATAAAAGTTGTATTATAAATGGAGTTTGCAGATGGATTTGTTTCTTCTCTTTTTGATACACTTATTATTTCTCTTCTCAAAACAAACAAGAACTACCACAGCTAAAATCCAGCTTACATCCTTTTGTACTTCATTGAGGTTTTGCTCTTCAGACTAACTCCAAGGGTTCAAAAGGCAGAGGCAGCAGACTGCCTGCCTCCTGGTGGTCAGAGCTGATGATAGCAAACACACTGACCACATAGGGGAACAAGAGATGGTAATATAGGCGTGTTTGACTTTTCTGGGATGTGACTTCGCAGTCCGTTTAGATGTAGAGTCACTGGAACACAATGGTTTTTTGAGGGAAAGGAAGGCAGCTCAGTCAGTCAAAGCCACATCTGGAATGGACTGGCAGAAAGCAAGAAGGCCTAACGAGAAGGGAGCAACACTCACTTCCTTAACTTTCCAAATCATGACCTCTATCCAGAATTTTTAGTTTAAGAGCAAAGGAGTGGCATCCAGAGGCCCATAGTGCCCTTCGGAAGAGTCTGGAGAGTCTGCCTGAGGTGGCTTATCCGAGCAGACTTCTTGACCACGGTTCACCCAGGGAACAGCACTGGGGACTCTGAAACAAAGCTTTCCATTTCTTGTGAAATTGAGGCTCTGGTGGTACAGTGCCTAAGGCATTTGACTACTAACCAAATGGCTGGTAGTTCAAACCCACCAGCCACTCCTTGGAAGGAAGACTGGGCAGTCTACTTCCATAGAGATATTGCCTCAGAAACCCAAGGAGGGGTCGCTATGAGTTGGTGAGTTGGACCCAACTCGACAGCAGTGAGTTTTTTTTATAGTGATCAACTCCCTTGAAAGGAGATGGCCTAAGGTGGCTCTTAGGTATCTAGTACTTCATCCTCAGTCTTTCCTGTGTGAGCCTGTTGCTGTGATGATCCCACTGTTGATGAGATTTCATAAGATGAGATTCGTTTTTGACAGCATCCTAATCAGACCTCCTCCTGATTTTTTCCTTGACAAGTACAGAACTCTGGCACAGTCAAAGCCAGTCACTGTGTTGTAGGAAAACAAGGTCCTTACCCCCTGTTGCAAAGACCCAGTGATCACAACAGGTTGAAGAGGGAAAGCAAAAGAATTATTGAGTATCGATACCAAGGAGACAGAGAGGATCACTTCTCTAAAATGTTACTTAAAGAAAGCAAAAGGGGAAGATAGCAAGTTGGGCCCTGTGATGAATGTCTCCTTTAATCATGCCTGCTAATCTGTTAGATTCTGTAATTTTCCGTGAGGGGCCCCTTCGGCCTTCCACATGAAGCCTGGTATCTGGTAGAGGGCTGATATGCAGGGAGACTTAAATACGCTCTGTCTTCTTTTTGAACAGATCCCGAATCAGCAAAGTGGAGTTCTTTAGATCATTCCAGAAGCTGCTAAGCAGTATTTCAGAGAACAAGAGGCCACGCTCTCTCAGGTGAAACCTGCTTTCTAGATTGCTGTTGACCCATGGTTTTTCACTTTGAGGAAGACTTCTCTTTTGATTCTGGCTTAAGATTGGCAGGAAGCTCTGACAGCACCTTCCATCTCCCATTGCCATCAAGTTGGTTCCAACTCATAGTGATCCTGTAGGACAGTAGAACTGCCCTGGGGTTTCCAAGGCTGTAATCTCTATGAAAGCAGACTGCCACATCTTTCTCCCATGGAGCAGCTGGTGGGTTTGAATCCCAGCCTTTTGGTTAGCAGACACGCTCTTAACCACAGCGGCACCAGGGCTCCTTTTAGCCATTGCTGATTGACCACATGTTCTTCTAGTCCCTTGGCCCTGCTTCCATATGCATGTGATCTGTGATATGGAGGATGAGTGGTTTTCGTGTAAAGTCACAGGAGACTGTGGGTAGAATTGGGGTTTGGCTCATTCCAGGCCCTCCTTTTGTTCTACCTCTAGACAGAGAGCAGGGAGTCCCTAGGTGGCTCACACAGTGAAGTGCTTCCCTACCAGCCAGAAGGTTAGCTGTTCTCACCCACCCAGAGGCATCTCAGAAGACAGGCCTGGTGATCTGCCCCTAAAAGGTCACACCCTGGAAAACCCTGTGGATCACTTCCGCTCTGCACACTTGAGGTCACCATGAGTCAGATCAACTTTACGGCAACTAAAAACAGGAAGGCAGAGCACTGTGTTAATGTGAGTGCTTGGAGAACAGTGTGCTCTGCTAGAAACATTACTGCTTCTCTCTCTTTTGTTTGCATCAGTGGTTGTGAACTGGAGCTCCATAATTTAACTAGCTCTGTAAACAGGAATATAGAGTTAGGACCAGGGGAAAAATAGAGGGTTGTAAAGCCACGTCAGGGGATAGTGGCTGGGAAGCTAAGGAGTAGCTAGAAGCTTCTGTAGGAAGAAACTGGCCACTTGTTAACACCATCACGCATATTTAAGTCAGCATTGATGCCCTGAAGGCATCTGTGGTAGGTTTGCATGTTTCTTATCTGGGAAAAGACTCAAACTGGCATTGGGTGGGTTTTCATACTTTATTCAAAAGAATTACTGCAATAAGGGAAAGGGTACTGTTGCCATAGAAAGAATGTGCCAACCGTAAGATCTGTAAGTATTGCAAAGGTTAGGCAGGATTTTCTTTTATAGGGAGGGGAAAATACAGCTCGAAAGAAAGAGGATAGGAGTAGAGGGTGATGTTCCCAGACAGTTGAGTAGGAAGTATCTTCACACATGGTCATCTGGTTCTCAGGAGAGGCCACTATATTAGGCTTATTCCATTCCTATCCTGATTCAGGCTGAGGGTGATCAAATTGAGAGATCTGGAGGAAGGAGAGAAGTTTAACTGAAGTTTGGTCAAATCAAATTAGCTTGGTCAGTGAGTGCATAGTTCAGCTAATCGTTTATGAAGCAAAGACTGGGCACTTGGAAGGCCTGCCTCTGGCCTTATATAGGTAAGCAGGGGGGCAGTTATCATATCTAAGTGACTTTCCTAAGTCATTGTGAGTTGGAATCATGGGCAGATCGTCTGGGGAAGGATTCTAAGTCACGTGGAGAAGGTGGTTCTCTGCCACTTCCCAGAACACAAAAGGGTGGACCATTTATCCTTCACTGTTTTCCTGAAGCACCAGGGCAGGTAAAGTTTATCATCTTGTGTGTGAACCTTACCCCTTAATCAATGAAATGTTGTAGGAAATTGTTCAAATGATTGAAATCAATGTTTACTACAAGAAGAAACAATTCTTTGTACTAACATGAGCTAAGGAAATAACTGGGTCTTCAATCAAAACATGAGCCTAAGTTTTCCCAGCTGTAAGATGAGAATAGTTATACAACTACATCCTAAGATAGTTGAGAAGATTAAATGAAATACTGCAAGTAAAACACTTAACACACAGCCTAGTTTCTAATAGTCTTTTAATAAGTGGTAACTGTAATTTTTATTTAATGCACAACCATTGCATGGTTGAAATATGTAGGCCACAGAAGAAAATCTGGTAACTGGATAGAACTATTACAAATATTACTGAGTGTGTCACCCATTCTTTGAAGTCACACATGGTCAAGGATTTGGGAGCAATAGGGTAGAAAGAAAGAGGGGAATATGGCTAATATGAAAAGTGCTTTGCTTTGTTAGAGAAAAATGCAGCCAAGAAGTTTCTAATGGTGAGGTCTTCTGGTGGAAATTCTAGACCCTTAGAAAAAATTTAAACTCAAAGTATATACAGTTATTCTTGCTCTGTCTGATTCTATAAGGATTGGGCAGAACTAGCATTCTGTTCATTCTCACCTGTTTTAATCCATGTTTCCTTCTAGTGAACTCCCTGCTGAGGAGGTTGAGTTGCTCTAGGAAAGCATTCCGAAATCCTCTCTACCTGAGTGTCTCGTTACAAATCTGTCCGGGTGGCTGCTTGGGCCTCACATTAGCACTGGGGTGAGCTGTTGAGTACCTGTATGCTTGGTTTTGTTTGTGTTTTAGGGGGCAGAAGCTAGAGACATACCAAGAGTACAAAGAAGCTGCGTCCACTTACCAGGAAGCGTGGAACACACTTCGGAGGCAGGCATTTGGATCCTGGATCAGAAACCCACCAGATTATCACCAGTTCAGATGAGAAGAGAAAGTTTGCAAAAAATGTATCACAGGACATTGTCCAGTGCTCCGAGCAGAACCGCCTTCTTCCTTCATACTGGACAAGACTGAGCTCTTTGGTGGCTGAGTCAGGGAAAAAGCCTTCTAGCAGGGAGTCGTATCTCTTATATAATATGGAAGGAATTCCATAACATAGAGCAGTCTGTACTTGATTGAAGTAGCTCTCTGCTGAAATGGCATCACTAATCACCTTGGTGTCTTTCCTAAGTTGTGTTTTATTGCTCTTCTAAAATACGAAGTCAGAGTTTGGAATGTGATGCCTTAAACACCTCTGGAGCCCTTCTGTTTTGTGTGTTCCTAAATGGATCCTGCCAGGGCTGAAGTGAGTGGTGTTTGAGTCTTCTCTGCAGGCTTTAGAGCTTCACCTAGCGTGGTAAATACGTATTTTGTACCTGCAGCATTTCTTCTTGCCGGAGCCACCTTTTTCCCCATGAACTTTAGTGATCCTTTGCTTTCCACAAGACTTGGTTGAAGCTAACCTCACTCCCCGGCTCCAGGAACATGTGAGCCAGTCCTGGACTGTCCTGGAACTGTTACCAGAACTACCAGGAGAGATACTCTCTCCTCTCATGTCTGGAGCTGTCGAGGGCACATAATCTTGGGACCGCCTGTGATCGTGTCTTCCCACCACAGAGACAGCCGCCCAAAGGCTGAAGGGAGCAGAGAAGGCAGCAGCCAAGAGTCAAAGTTCTAGAGACCTTGTTTGGGCATCTGGCATCAGACGCCTGAAGCCAGAGCCTGCCATGGTCTTCGACATGTGTGACAAGCTCCTGTTCTGAGTCGGTTTTCTGTCACTTTCAGCTGAAAGAGCTGTGTCTTAAAAGGCCAAAGGGTTCTGACAGACCTGGCACCTGATCCTATTTTAATGGACCTCTCAGATTTAATTCTCACTGTCTTCACACCTTGTTGAATTACGGACTGAAAATAGGAGCTCTCCATGTTGGGATTATTCAAGGACCTTGTTGGTTCTTCAGTATTTTTATAGCTTTGAATATTTTTAAGAACACTTTTATTGAGATACAATTCTGCAGTGCAGTGAATTGCTTACTATGGCCCTTTTAGCCATGGTCCTCCATTTTGTGATGTATTGTAAATCCCAGTCTCTATGTCTGCTTAGGGTGGGATGGATCTGGAGTCCCGCCTTGCTCTCATTCTGCGCCCTTCGCTCTCATTCTCTGGTCCTGCACTTGGTTCGTCATCATCTCACCCCTGGACTTGAGACAGCAGCCAGTCGGGTCTGACCTGCCGATTTGGGTTCCCTGGCTCCTGGAACCGTGCAAGTGGGAAGAATCCTCCAGACCTAGCTGCAGACTTGAGACTTGCCAGCCTGTACCACCATGTGAGCTGTTTCCTTGGCAGTTTGTGAATTCTGTGAGAAATTACAGTAAAATACTGAACTCTTAAGATGGGAGGGAGGATACTGAGGGGAAAAGGAAGAGTAGGTGTTAGAGGTGACTGAATGGCACGGCAGTTCAGGAAAGTTGGACATTTGGGACATCTTTTACATCTGCCTCATAGGGACTAGCCTTGTGCTGATCCTTCTAAAAGAAATTTGAGAAAATGTATATACCATAAAATTTACCTATTTACAGGGTACAATTCAGTGGTGTTAGTATATTCACAGAATTGTGCAGTTATCACTACAGTCAGTCTTAGAACCACTTGATCACCCTCAAAAAGAAACCCCATACCCATCAGCAGTCACTTCCCACTTCCCCAGCCCTCCCAGCCCTAGGCAACCACTAATCTATCTGTCTGTCTGGATTTGCCTGTTATGCATATCTCATATGAATGGAGTCATACAATTTATGACCTTCTATCTGGTTTCTTTTACTTAACTGTAATTCAACATTCATCTTGAACCAGCGCTGTGTTTCTTTCTATGGCCAAATCTTATCCCATTCTAGGGATATGCCACATTTTGTCTATCCTTCTACCAGCTGATGAACATTTGGGTTGTATCTACTTACTGGCTTCAAGAATACTGCTGTGAGCATTTGTGAGCTCATTTTTATTAGGACATATGTTCTTAAATTTTTTTCATTACAGAAGGAATGCATGTTATAAATTATCTTGGCTGTTTTTTTCCATAAGAAAACCTTTTAGATAGCTGGAAAGAAAGGCAAAAAGAACAGTGATTGCAGGCCAGGCTCTCCCGAATGCTGCTTTAATCAAACAGAAGATTCTTTGCTGACCCTGAGTCCTCTCTTTATGACAGCAGTTAGACCCCTGCACTGAAAGGAGCTGTGTCCACAGAGGATTATGCATCTCCCTCCTAGGAAATTTGATTTCAGAGGGCAAATATTTATATGAGAATGTAAGGGGATAAGGTCTTCTTAGTCCTAGATTTTATGGTAAGCTCTTCAAATTTGCACACAAAAACTAAACATAAAAAAATACCCCTAAAGTTAGACTTTGGAATAGACATAGAAAACCCCTGAAGGCTGGAGACTGAAGGCGGCTGTACCTTGGGCTCTGCCTGTTTCCTCAAGAGCTAAAAACGTGCTGAGACATCCAACATGCTGTACTTTAAAACCCATGTTTAGAGCCTCATCTGTGGCTTAAGATCATCTCTCTGCAATATGCTCAGGCTCTCAAATTTCTTTCATTCAATTGGAAGATCATGTGTTTTTCCTAATGTTCCTTAACCCATATTTAACGAGTAACTGCTTCTAATTTTAAAATACATTTCCTTTTTTTAAAACTTGTAAGCATTTTCAAATAGACTCGTACAGTGGACCCCATGTACCCATCACTCAATTTTAACAACAGTCAACTTTATACTATTCTTTTTGATTTATCCTCCCTCTTTCAATTTTTTTTTTTTTCTTGGAGTACTTTTTAAACAAATTCCAAACGTATTTCACCTAAAAAATTAATAATTCTTTAAAACGTAATATGCAGTGTGTTTGATTTTCCCCTGTAATATCAAAAAATGGCTTTGGATTGTTGATTTGTTCAAAAAGTATCCATACAAGGTTGACAAAATGCATTTGGTTGATACAGATACATCTTTAGTGGTTTTAAATCTCTAAAGTTTACCCTCCTTTTTATGTTTGAAAAATTGGGTCATTTATCCTATAGAATTCCTCGTGTCCTGGATTTGGCTGCTTATTTCCTCTGGTGCTGAACAAGTTCCTCTGTCCCTCATGTTTCTTAAAAATGGGTAGTTCCAGGTAGAGGCTGGATTCAATTCCAGTTGTTACTTGACATGAATACTTCTCAGGTGATTCTGCGTACTTCCATTGCATCAAGGCATGAGGTGCAGGACACAACGTTTGGTTGCCCCACTTTCAGCGATTGATTTTCACCAGTGTCAGCCTGATCCATCTCGTTATAAAGCTGCCCAGCATCCCTTCACCAATTGGTTTTAGCAGCCACTGAGGAGCCATGATTTCATTAGGCAATGCAAAAGGGTGATTGTCTAATTTTATCATTCCTCCTATATCTTTTTTAAGAATAGAATTATTCTTTGAGAAGAACTTGCCCCATCAACTATTTGATTACCTTGAAATACATTCCACAGAGAGAAGGAATAAATGCTTATTTAGCCTTACATATAAATTCCCAAAATAATGAATTGGTGCCCAAGCAGTCTCCAAAGTGACCAATGAGCTGGTGATGGTAGGAGTTTGGTTCTTTTTTGTGTTTGTTTTTCAGCATAATTTTGAACTCATGGTATTTTTTTTTTTCATTTGTGTCTCAATCCATTCCAGTCAGCCTTTTTGGTGCTCAAATTATCCTATTTTCAGCCAAGGGAGAGCCCCTTTGAGTTGACGCCTGTGTTTTGTTTTTTTAATGCCTCCTTGCTTTCAGGCACAATGAGATACAAGGTTCATCTTGTACATTCCATGCCCCAATTTTCATTTCAGCCATTTTGTCAACTCCTGGTTCCCTTTAGTGGGAAATTGTATTTGGAGACCACAGTCTGGGCTTTTGGGGTGTACATTTTTACTGGGTTGGTTATGGTTCCTATATCTTTTCAGTGGACAGAGCTAGGTCATTTTCTTAAAATACATCCTGGGTTCATGCTGAGGCGCTCTGGTGGCACAGTGCGTAAGGCATTTGGCTGCTAACAAGAAGGTTGGTGGTTCAAATCCACCAGCTTCTCCATGGGAGGGAGATGAGGCAATCTACTTCCGTAAAGATTTACAGCTTGGAAATCCAATGGTGGTTGCTGTATGAGTTGGGATTAATTCAATGGTTTGGGTTCATACTGGCACTAACATTAATCCGATTCATATTGAGGCCCACAGGGTCCTCCTTGATCTTCAATCTGTCTCTCTTACCCTGCGCCAGCAATCCCAGTTCCCAGTGGCACCTACTTGATTGCTCATTTGCTTCATGCCACAGCACACACTCAGAAAGCTATCGACCCTGCCCCCACCAGTGTGATTATTGCAATCAGTCTAAGTTTTTCCTTTTTTTTTTCAGTTTGCTTTTGTCATTAGTGTATATCCCATTAGGGCAATTACTCTCAACAGGGACGATCCCTCCCCCTTGCCCACTGGAGACATTTGGCAACGTCTGGAGACATTTTTGGTGGGTAGAGGCCAGGGATGCTGCTACGTGTTCTGCAGTGCCCAGGACACACCCTTACACAACAAAGAATTACTGGCTCAAAATATCAGTAGTGGCAAGACCAAGAAACACTGCTCTAGGGATTATGAGTGTTTGAAATATTTATTCTTTGGTTATTCCTCCAGCTCAGTACCCAGTAAGTCCATTTGGTTTTCCATTTTTCGGGCTGCTGCTTTTTTTTTTAATTTCATAAAATATTTATATTATTCCAAAGTTAAAACAAGTTTTTAAAAAAGGGAAGGATACATTCAGAGAAATCTAGCTTCTGTCCTTGTTCTACACACCCCCTATTCTTTCCTTCCTCCTAGAGCAGCAACCATTTTTATTCATTCTTGGTATGTCATTTCATTGCTTCTTTTGAAATACTTTGAATAACCTACA